GTATACAAAAGCAGGTTATTTACTTGTAGAATGACGTCATGCTATAAGCACTCCTGAACAATGTAAATTGCCTAATATTTTTCGATGACTAACACGAGAGATACCGAAGAAGAGAGAAAGGAGACTAACAACAGAAAACGTCCAGAAACAAGTAAACGAAAGTCTATCAAAAGTGAAAATACCTCCACAAATCATATGATGTCTGAGCGTTCAAACGAAGAAACAAGTGACTATCATATCCCACTGCAAAATAATTCCTTCAGAGGAGGGAAACAATAGATGTGACAGACAGAAGGCTGACCGAGCAAGTTTGTATAGTGGCAATATTTTACACTTTTATTCAAAAGGTAAAGCGGCCAATCCGACTGAGATTTTCGTGGTTTTTCCCAGTCCATCAAGGCAAAAGCCAAGATATAATTTCGATTCTTTCACGAGTGTTTTCTCCCAAAATCTTCCCACTACGTTCTCCACCAATCTTATTAACGTCTGTCGCTTTAGAGCCTGATGTTCCGACAGTTTCATGGAATAAACTACGAAAAGCAGGAAGATGAATCTATCCACGTCCAGCTGCCAGAAACAGCGAAGCCAAGAGAGAAACCAGAAAAGAAGGAAAAAAGAATGAATAAAAAATATGATAAAGAAAACATGAGCCAGATAGGAGAAATACTTTAGGAAACAGAAATGAAGTCACTCTATCTTGGTGGGAACTTGTAAAGAACTAATCTCGGAAGCTGCTAAGAGAAGAATTCACCGTGGTTATCGGAAAGTTCCGATGAAAGGAATTTCGTGCATGTCCATCTCAATAAAGTAGGGGAAAACTCAGATAGGTAGGATTGGGACACGAGATGCAAATAAACAGAATTTTCCACGTACGACAATATTGATTATCAATTAAAGATAAACAGGACTTTGGAGACAGTAGGTAAATCATGTTTTTCTTTTTCGGTGTTCAGTGAAATCAAAGGAAGTCTTAAAACAATCGTATAAAAAGCAATCCAAAGTTTTGGAAATATAGGATAAGACAGGAGGAGCAACATTCACTAGAGACAAAAATCTGATAATATTACTGAATCTGCTCACACTAATTTACACTTCTCTTTGTCGTCTTATGAAAGCGGAAAACAGACTATCTCAAGAGGAAATATTCACCACACCATGTCACTGTGAGCGAAATATAGGTTGGATTATTGAAGATATTTCATGGCAAGAACGTCAGACGAAAGATCTGTGAATCCCCTTTTCAGGACCTAAATTCAGCGGTGAAGAATATCTGACATTTGTCAAAAGTGTAGCAAACTGTAGATAAATATTGGGCTTATTGAAGTAGCAAAACCTAAGAGGTAGCAAGGAAGAGAGGAACATTACCGTAAAACCAATACAGCTTATCTGCTGAACTAAACTGACAAGAACACATCACTTTCGATTTGACACGATGATCGAGAACTCCGGTGCGTGGCACGGATTTCCATCTAGGAGAGGAGTAGAGAGATCACTTCCTGTCTACACAAATATCTGGGGAGCGTTCACACTGATGTAAGTGATATCCTCAAAAGCAGGAGACCTCATATTGTGCAAAGTACATTTCCAGATTGGCTCGAGTCGCAGTCTGCAGTCTCTTGTTCACAATCAGTTCTCAGCCACAGTAATACTAAAAGCCTCAGAGGTCATTTAACCTGATCGAGATGAAGGAGATCCGTAGTATTCCAGTCACCATTTTAAATTTTGGTGAAATTGTGCCCATCTTGTAATTATCCACAAAATTATTTTGAAGATTCTTTCAAATTCTGTACTTCAGCATCCTGTTGCATTTGTTTAACTTAACGTCCATGTACTTATCGACCGTAAATATTGCAACACTTGTTTATTAACTACTTAATTTTAATTTTATTTTAACATTATACACTTTGGCACTACATGTTTCGGCACCAAACGGCCATCTTCAGGTGTCTTGATATGTTACTATTATTGTATTAAATTATGTTAAAACTGCTACACTGTCTTAGTCCCTGTTAAAATCACACGCTGTTGTTTTCTTTTTAAGGTAAAACCAGAAAAGATCCTTTAAAGTTCCTATTATACCCATGTTATTTTGGTGCATTTTATTTCATCTCACACGGGGTGTCGTCCATTGTTCATAAATGTATGTCTGTCCAGGGTGTTTTGTTTCGGCAGCTATGTTCGTAGCCTACTTTTCAGTTATGACTGCCATCTGTAATTTATAAGATCCCTAGATTAATGTTGTTTTCTATTTGTTTGGTATTATTATTATTATTATTNGAGAGAAATGTACATGGAAACAATTAGGTAATTTTATTTTGAGAAATGTATTAATGTTCTATTTTGTTTAAATACATTTTGAACAACGATGACACATTCGGGATTAGTCCGTTCCTACAAACAGGAAGTCAGAAATTACAGATCAGAACAAACAACGGCATTCTAAACCTAATTCAACATCTAATCGAATCTCCAGGCTGGTGCTGGGATAGTACCTGAAATGAGCCACGACTGCTGCCCTCCGCGTCCTGCCAAGCTCACATCTGTCTTTGCCAGACAATGGCGCCGATCACGCAGCGCAGTGTCTTCGCTCGCTCTAACACTGGGATCATGTGTTCGAATTCCACTCTAGACATGGATGTCTGTGTTTATTCTGTGTGTAGGTAGCGGTTTTGCGACGGCCTGATCCCCCGTCAAAGGAGTAATACCGGTTGTGTGTATGGATTAAGAAAATAAAAAAGCTGTCAAAGTCCAACAAAGGGCTGTAGAGCCATAGATAGATAGATAGACAGAGAGAGAGATGTGGATAGACAGATATAATGTTGGCAGATGAAGGCTAAGTTAAATAAAAGAAAAATTAATAAATAAGATAATGACAATAGTTTCTATCAAACACGAAATCTCCTAAATGCTAAATACGAGTATGTTTGCCTAATTTGGCTACTATAAGATGAAAGTTCCTTCTTATTATAATTACAATTAATAAGTGCGTCCAGAAATAGGACAAATTCATGGAATATTGTTTGTATGAAATATACCTTAGATAATGAACAGCCTACAGCAGAAATTAGGGTCGTTCACTGACACAAACGTTTAGTAAGAACTCATATGGAATTATAAGAAAGAAACATCTTTCATTCATAACGCGCATATCCGAAATTTATGAAGTTCCTTGATAAGAAAACCTTATGGAAGTTTTAATTCTATCGTGGTTTCCTTGTAATTTTATTCTTAGGAAAATTTTCCTGTGTTCGCTGTTTAAAAATCATTATCCTTGCTTTCTTTAGGAGTATGAGTACGACATAATGTGGGTAGTATGGATGCCAAGTAGACTGGAAACAGTATGCCGATTTCGCTTCACATCAATCTACTCTTTGTCACTGTCGGGTGGTCTTAAAGATCAATAATTTGAGGTTCTTACATCGTTCCCTGAAAATGTTCCTTCCCTCGTACGTCGTGGAGGAAAGCGGACTGTCGTTATAACGAATGCATGCAGTTCAACAACACACACATACACTCGACGATCACTACATACCGAAAGTATTTCTGCTTTCTGCACCTGCATCTTCCATTTCTCTGTACTCCAGTATATGCAGATTATTTGGTGTCTAAGGAAATATATTGTTACTGTTGGTGGCATTCCTAAATGTATCATCTTATTGAAAATTCAGCAGTTTGTTTCATTTTAAATTACCTCTCCTACATAAGGTTTTACTACTCTCAAATAACTTCTTTGTCTTATTTCTACTCAATATTGTCTAGAGTCCCTCCCTGTGCATCAGTTCAGTTTCCGGCAGGTAACAGCAGTTCTGTCGTTGCTACGGCTCCAGATGCTAGATGACGGTACGAAAGTAGAAGAGACACTGATTTTAATTCTGTTCAAAGTAGAGGTATTGTTGTTTAGTGTACAGCGATTGAAGACGTTTTCAGTTCCACAGATGATTCCAGAATTTCAAAGATTATTTAAACCTGTAAATCGCAGTGGTTGATGTATCTACTTTCTGCTTAACATTAAACGTTTCTGCATTTGACTCCATACGTTTCTCAGTAAAATGAAAGAATATTTTTCTAAAGAGCATTAGCTCGTTCGTCTTTGTACTGGAACCACTTTATGCCCTCTGGGAATACCGAATCAGATGTCAAGTCACAAAGAGAGTATTCTGAAAACACGTGAACTCCAGGCTGGAGTACAGTACTACATTCCAGGTAACGGGTTCTATAACAGTCTCACTGTATATTTTTTATTGCTAGTGAGGTTGGACTACGCCCCTTGTACTGCGGCCACTTCTGGCCTATTGTACCAGCCCCAGATGATAGGTGAGGGTGATTGTGGAGCAATTGGTGGAATGAAGATTGGCAGGGGAAACCGAAGTACTCGGAGGAAACTCGCCCCAGCGCCACTTTGTCCACCACAAATCCCACTTGACCAGACACGGGATAGAACCCGGGCCGCCGCGGTGGGAAGCCAACGACTAACCACTTGAGTTATGTCGCGGCCTCAGTCTCACTGTAAGTAGAGCACATATAAACTCGTCTTTTCACAAGCAAACCTTCCCTTAACAGGCTGACCTTAAACTCAATTCTGATCTGATCTGATGACAGACACTTAGAGCTCCAACTTTGATATGATATCACGTTTCGCCTTCATGTCACGATGTTATGATGTTGATATTATAAACTTAACCCTAGCCGATAAACTCTCCGCCGATAACCCCTCCACCTCGCTTCGCTAACTATATAGCCTTCATACTCTCATCGCATCGCATTCACGATGGTATACCACAGCGCCTGTCGCCATTATACGTCAGTCTGTTCTTGCGCGTTCTGCTGGCAACTCTGTGCTCAGTGTCGTACCCAAGATCTCTGTGCCGCACAAGTTTACCAACAAGTTCTTCAAGGCAACACCTTCGGCTTCCCAGAAGAATTCGAAGACAACTACGAAGAGGATTTAACTTCCTACATCACACAATCATCATCTCCTGGCGTGGTTCGGGTAAGTCCATTACATCAGCCACATGTCTCTAACATGGACAGACCAGACCAGAAACAAGAGTCAGTGGCCATCGTTCACGACCCCGACCGGCAAAACGATCCATCTCCCACCCAGGAGATATATTCTATTCTCGGTTGCTCCCCGACATGCGACACCACAACAGCTCAGAGATCTCTCCGATTACATCACGGAGCATCATCAGATTGTGACAGCGCCAGAGCCCCTGTCTCGCCTAACTTCTCACATACAGTTATTCGAGATCCCATCTCCAGAGGACAAACAACACCTGATTCTCTCGCTCACGAACACCTCAAGCAGGACGGTTCGCCAAACCCATTCTCTACCTTTCTCAATCTCCTACAAGCAACGCCGATGTCCCTGATGGTTCAAGAAGAAAACGAAAAGGCACCGATACTGGCTTACTCCACAAACACCCAAGGAGAAGTGATGGTAGCTCTGCTCGAGTCCAAGAACAACAAAGCGCACATGCTCTCCGAGACCCAACCGGAACTCGACATATTCGAGACGGATATGATTCTCCTCCTACAACATCACAGGCCGGCGATATTGGAGACAACATTAGAATCGATGATACGGACGGAGCCTCAGCAAGCAGCCTTACCTACACTTTCATCCTCCACAAATCTGCCTTCGACATCCTCCCTGCCACCACCAAAAAATCTCCCACCTTCGCAGCATTTGACCACGGCGACCACATCCACGTCATCTTCAGCGTCCGCCACTCCAACAACGCACCGGCACCTCAACTCAATCCTTCAATTCCTTAAAGCCCGCTTTGAAGGAACTGCAGAGGCCCATACAAGCCTTCAACTCGTCCGCTTCGCATCCCGATTCATATCATATCTTACACGAAAAGGTCTCGGAACGTTCTATAAATATGGAAGTCGAGCTATCGCCATCCTAAAGCCACTCACAGAGGCTCTCCTCCACTATGACACCACGGACATGCCATCAACATCAGATCTTCGCTGTTCTCAGTACGTCGAAGGAAAAAATGTATTGGCAAAAGAAACAATCACACAGCGCACCTTTTCCATTGATTACATTTCCTGCCTTATCGTCGATAACAAAATCACGTCATTTGAGGCTTTCCAGCGTATCCTTCCTACGCACACGAAAATCCAACTCCTCAAGCAACTTGGGTACGTCGGGCAAAATATTATCAAGACACTAATCAAAATTCACACAATCAAATCGCTCCAAGAGATAAAAAAAGAGCACTACTACCAACTCCTCATTGACAATTTCGGCATTTCTATCTACAAACCTCAAAACGTCTCTTTGCTTAGTTCTATCTTCTCATCAAACAACATCGCCATCGATGACTTCTTTTCTAAATTTTTGCTCATACACTCCACTAACATAACCAAAATTAACACGTTCGTGTTCCAAGGCCCGACCAATACGGGTAAGTCGCTCTTAGCATCCTTGCTGCTTGCAGATACAAAACCAACACGCATCGCAAGAGAACGCAACAAATCCAATTTTCATCTTGATCAGTTGCCTAACAGCACTTCTGTTATATTCGAAGAGCCCATAATCGACCAGACCACGGTAGGCACGTGGAAGCTGCTTCTAGAGGGTGCTCCTATACCCACCGACATGAAGCACGCCGACAAGGAGATAATATACCGCTTGCCAATCTTCACCACCACCAACCAGCCCATCTGGAATTGGGTGAGCACGGACGACGTCTCTCCCATTAAGCAGCGCATTTTCGTTTTCCATTTGAACTCACTCATATCCAGCTCCATCACCAGAGATGCAACCATCCCCCAACCCCCAACCATCATCACCAAACACGACCTCTATGCGCTGTTCCTTCATCATTTGCAGTCTATACACGATTCATACACATCCCTCTTATCTACTCTCCCACTCTCCGAGACATCCAAACTTCATTCTTTGCGCCAATACCAAGAACTGCAGAACATCCAAATCGATCTGCTGTTACAGGATTCATCCGAATCTCTTTGTGACCTTCCCTCCGGAGACCAAGCCCCCTCCCAGGATGGCTGATTCTACCTCCGACCAACAGGATAGGCCACCAAAGAGATCCAGGACATCCGGTATCGCTTCTGTCGGACAAACAACGCACAACGTAAAACAGGATGGGTATGGCAAGCACATGGCTCCCATGGTTTCAACTATTCCAATTCCTATTAAGACAACCCATGTACACGGAGAAATAAAAATATCATTATGGCAAAACATTTCTTTCTGTGATGTTGGCGTATGTGGATATGTTCTTCCCTGTCACCTCCTTCAGTTCTGGATCGGAATCGACGAGCAAGAGAATAATACAATAAAAAATTTTAACATCCTTTCCAAAGCTGCATATGGCGTCACGTGGCATTCATTCTCCCTTTCCATCTACAATCAGGCCACAACGAGAAAACGGCTTCTCACTCAAGGCTCCACTACTTACGAAACAATCGATTTCGAAACATCCCAAAACCTCATGATTTTAACCGACATGAACCAAACCCACAACCCATCAGTTCTTTGGCCAACAGAATTCATGCCCCCCGGTCATAAAGTCAAAGTCAAAGTCAAAATCAAAGTCATATTATGACTGACGGTCGGTCAGTCAGTCAGTCAGTCAGTCAATCAATGTTGGTGTCGAGCCAATCTGGGGCTCATGACCAGATATTTATTATTGTTTGACACTTTCAGTCTTGTTATTATGGGCGCCTTATCTGACGGGAGGACAGGTCTGTCTTTTGTACTAGTCATTGTCTGCAGTAGTAAGTAATTTGTCATAACTTACTTACATACTCATGGAGCTGAGCCCTTTTGGAGGAGCCGCCAATTATGCAGCTACTCAAGAAATTCCCAGCATTTCATTGAACCCGAAAGTTCATTTTCGTGTTCACAAGAGCCCTCCACTGGTCCTTATCCTGAGCCAGATCAATCTAATCCATACCATCCCATCCTATCTCTCTAAGATCCATTTTAATATTGTCCACCCACTTACGCCTTGGTCTTCCCAGTGGTTTCTTTATTTCTGGCTTTTCCACCAATATCCTATATGCATTCCTCGTCTCCCTCATTCGTTCTAAATGCTCCACTCACCTCATCCTCCTTGACTTGATCATTCTAATTATACTTGGAGAAAAGTACAAGTTATGAATCTTCTCATTGTACAGTTTTCTCCAACCTCCTGTCACTTCATTCGTCTTCATTTGTCATAATGTAAAGGATATTTACATTTTACATGTTAAACATGATAATAAATGTATTAAATATATACAGGGCCTCTGTCAGTCCAGGCTCAGTACAGCATTTTATGCCTTATTTCTAGTAGCTTCCGCTACAACGGCAGTCTAGTCACTTGAACGGTCGTATGCTTGACCACCGTCAAGTTTAAGCCTCTTATACTTTCTTTGTCGGGCTTCGCCTTGTCCAATATTGCGAACATTTTCGTTATCATGATTTTGTATGACTTCCGCTTGTTGCCTGTATAATTTTGTTATCTGATCTGATTTGGGTTTCCTGTTCTACAACGTCGGAACGTATCAACAGAGAAGATATATTTCCATCTCGTATCCAAGGAAACGTCCGTTTGTCACTCAGTGGCGGAGCCTTCCCAAGAATCTATTTCCACTGAAATATATTTCATTTCCCTATCCATGGAAACGCTTTCGTCGAACGGGTTGATTTCCAAGAATCCATTTCCGCGGAAACTTGTTCGCCGACCCGTTCCCGAGCAATGAGTCTACACGTCACAATATTAAAATAAAGATATCAAGAGTATGGATGGCAGATGTATAGAACCGACTCCGGCCGTCTTCAACTGCCGGCACTGCTATCAGAAAATTTGACCCTAATTTGTTCAGTTTGTTAAAATGAACAAATTTCGACATTCACGCCAGCGATAGATGGAATTGTTGGAATTATACGATAATAATGAAGAACAGATGATTTAATGAATTGAAGATGATGATGTGCCAAATATTTCTTTTACATTTTGTTGAGCTATTAACAGTAACATTATCATGATTACTGAAGCGGAATACTTTACGGTAGCATCAAATTTAGGAAATCTAGGAACATCAGCTATATTGACTTTTATTCCGGTGACAGGGGAAACTTGTGCTGCTAACCTCTTCTGAGTTGATTTGATGCGTCTTCATTTCTATCATCTTAAATCTAACAAATTTACTCCGTAAAGCAAAGCTTTACTTGAAAACTCATAGCCGCTCGAACAGTGAAGGCAACTTCCTTCATATTGACTTCATATTCCATTTGACTTGAGGTTATCACAGCTGTCACTATGGGGAATATCAGCTTCTCCCACGTGACGCAGCGTAGTCCGGTAGAAATTTACCGACATTTGGACGGAACGTATTGCCTCAAACTTGAGCTAGCTGCTTGCCTCTTACTCGTTACTGGGCTGCACGACTTCGTATTGCATAAGGTATTTCTGTTCAGATCTTGTTCACAACAGCCCGTCACTGTACACGATGCTTGGTTTCAGCTCTTGCTAATCAGTCTGTCCAGGTATGACGCCCTGTGTAACACTTCACTGCATATTGGACACTACCCTAACCGGACATATGACTTGTTTATGATTTAAAGACGTTATCAGTAGGTGATTAGGAAACCACAATTTATATAAATGCAGCATTTTACAATCACGCTCGCATTTACATGTTCCCACACTAAAGGCCGAGCTTTCATATTGACCAGGTTAAGCAATTTAAAAATGTAAAGGTAAAGTTGAAGACATGTACTGTCTTCGCTCGCTTGGAAACCGGGATCGTGGGTTCGAATCCCGCTCAGGGCATGGATGTTTAGTTTGTGTGAGTTTTTCTGTGTTTGTGTACAGGTAGAGGCCTTGCGACGAGCTGATCACTCGCCCAAGGAGTCCTACCGAATGTGTAAGATCAAGAAAAAACCGAAGTGAACGGAGAAGTTCATGGAGGTAGGCCCAGGCCCACTGGGGCTGTAGTGTCAAGGAAAATAAAAAAAGGTAAAGTTGTCCTTATGCCGAATTAATTAAGCACTATGGCATGAAGATAAACGAGAGATTGAAGGTAGAGCTCCACCATTCTTGACCTTAGCAATAGATTGAGGCGTGTGGTCAGCTTTACGCCTTGGTCGCTTTACCTCGGGGAAATCACCTCCAGAACCCATTGGATAGGAGGTTTGGGGTGCCCCAGAAGCGGTCTGAATACTGTGAATAAGAGCATCACATGCACTGGTAGCCAGTTCCTTTGAGGTTACATTCGCCGTTTGTGAGCGCAAGGCGCAATCACAAGACACAATATAGTAAAGGCTTAAGGGCATGCGGGATTGCATGACATTTCAGACTATCGCGTTCGCCTTATAGGGAATGCTAACACATTTCAGTTACTTGCGTGCTCGGAAAGTGTGGACTTAGAAAACTGTCAGGACTTTTGCAATTCTGTGACAAACACCGTCTCACATAACTCATGTACACGATATAGAAGGAAAGGATCATCTCAGCAGTTCATAACCTAATTATTACATATTTCCTTCCTCTTTCAATTGTTTTTACTGGCTCTACAGCCCCTTTGACACTGGCCTCTGATTTTTAAGTTTCATGATCATTTTTTCAGGCGGTAAGACTTCTTGGACGATTTATCAGCTTGTTGTAAGGCCTCTACATAAGCACAGAACACAATCACAGAACAAACACATACACATACCAAACATCCATGCCTTGTGTGGGATTCGAACCCAAGATTCCGGCTTCAGAGTGAGTGAAGACAGTATATGCCTTAGACCTCTTGTCTACCGCTACCGGCCCTTTCAGTTCTTAAGTTCTTAATTTTTAGTTCAAATTTGTATAGTTGCCTTGCATTATATTGCGGAGTATAGACACGCTGCTTAGTAAACATCAACTGTTGCAGCGCCCATGGCTTACAAGTGTACGGTGGCGTCACGTAACAATAGAAGTGGTGACGCAAGAGGTGTTTTCTGTAGGTTCGCTCCGAGGCTATACGACTCGACCAACCGTGTTCTGTTGTGAGAGTGAGTGCAGTGCAGTTGGGGGGTCACTTTTGGAGTGTTAACCAGCGGGCAACGAAAACGGAAGAATCTCAATTGCTAAGATTAGTACCACGAAATGTCTAGTGAAGACATTGCAGAGGAATATGCATTGTGAGGAGCGGTTACCTAGTAACGACTAGTAAATATAGACTAAGAAGACTTAATATGAAGTGATTTGTTGTGTGGTGATCAGCAATAGTGTTATAATTATTTGTAGTTGCGATCTGTAAGTGGTCAATAAATCTATTCACCAATACAAATACAGTCTGTAGCCCCTAATACACGTGACAATATGTATGCTCAAGTGCCACATTTTTCACGATCTACGTGCCATAAAATCCGCAGTCTCTTGAAGTGACTACAGAAGCTGCAGTGACTTCGCTCACAATAACAGCAACAGTATTGTACAATATAAGAAACAACTTTGTTTGATATATCATTGGGTTCAAACTTTGTGAGAATTACAAATTTCCTTTTATATTTGTATTTAATGATATTTTGCAGATTAAGAAAACATTTCAAAAAATTTCTTCTACAAATGAACTAACGTAGGATAAGTATGCTGGAGAGTGTTTTCTTCCGAAGGAACCATTAGCTTCAAGATCATGAACCAGAAGTAGCGATAGCCTTATAATAGTCCATTTCATGTACGTGGCTGGAAAATTCTACTCAGAGGAAGCACAAATATTCTCCTTGTTTGCAAAAGGCCTTCATTTCCACATATTGTACTTTCAGGTTGAGTTAATTTACTTAAAATATAGATGTATTAACGCATATCTAGTGGGGGGGGTTAGAGTCCAACTGGGTCTACTCGTCACGGAGGCCACTGATCGACCTATTGTAGCCTGCCTCGGCTGATTATAATGATGGAGAATATGGTGGAATGAAGATTTGCAAGGGAAACCGAAGTACTCGGATAAACCCTGCCCCAGCGCCACTTTGTCCACCACAAATCCCACTTGACCAGACCCGGGATCGAACCCGGGCCGCCGCGGTGGGAAGCCAGCGACTAACCGCTTGAGCTATGGCGCGGCTTAAACGCATATATAAATGAACAACATAAAAAAATGTAATTATATTGCTTATGTTCCGTTTTA